TGCCTGATCCCCCCTGGAGGTATTCCCCGTGTCCCAGTCCTGCACCAGCCTCCAGGACGCCCACCCCCCCGTAATGTCAGATTCTGTTCCGTGTTTTGTGTGTGTTTTGCTCCCCATTTGTTTCCATGCCCATATTTGGTCCTTCCCGTTCCTGTCCTTATTGGTTCCCTTGTGTTGGATGTAATTAAAACTTCCTTGTTGATGTACTATATATATATATATATATATATATAATGTATGCATATATAAATGTTTTATTCTTAGGCTGCATTTATGTGCATATATTTAGTTATTTAATACATTAAAAACAGCAATATTGTGAGATATTATTACAATTTGAAATAACTATTTTCTATTTTAATATATTTTAAAATGTAATTTATTCCTGTGATGCAAAGCATTCCAGTCTTCAGTGTCACATGATCCTGATTTACTGCTCAGTTATTATTGGCACTCAGTTATTAATCATTATCAATGTTGAAAACAGTTTTTACTGCTTAATATTTTTTTTCAGTATTCTTCGATGAATATAAAGTTTAAAAAACAACATTTATTTGAAATATAGTATTATGTAACATCACAGATGTTTTTACTGTCACTTTTGAACAATTTAAAAAAGACAAACAAACATCTGAATAGTAGTACATTATGGTTTCTGCATAAATATTAAGCAGCACAACTGTTTTAAACATTGATAATAATCAGAAATGTTTATTGAGCATATTAGAATAATTTCTGAAGGAGCATGTGACACTGAAGACTGGAGTAATGACGCTGAAAATTCACAGGAATAAATTACATTTTAAAATATATTACAATAGAGAACAATTATTTTAAATTGTAATACTTTTTCATAATATTAGTGTTTTTTTTCTTTTTTTATGACATAAATACAGTTTTGGTGAGCTTGAGAGATTTCTTTCTGAAACATTAAAAACTCTTAGCACCTCCAAACGTTTGAATGGTAGTGTATACATTATAACACACATATGTTGTTTGAAGCCACATTCACTCAGGTTTTCGTAGCACCTCTGTGGCTTTGGAGATGCAAGTACGGCCTCTCTCTATCTTACTTACCGTCACAAGAGACATATCACCCACACTTTACACATGCTCCACACACACACGCACGCACGCACACACACACGCACACACACACACACACACACACACACACACACACTCCTAACTGCTTTTCATGTCAGTCCTCGGGGCCTGCTACAGGATCCAAATGGACCCAAACACACACAGAGCTACACCAGCGTACACACGGCAGCCAAACTCTAACGCAATAAATCGGATAGCGTTTAAGAGCATCACATCATGGGTAAAGCCATCCGTCTGTGTGACTCCCCATGATTCAATCAGAGAATCGGTCGTGTATCTATCAAAGAGTTGCTCAGAAATCAATGATTCATCCAGAGAGTCAGTGTGACTCCAGCAGTCAGTCAGTTTGTCAGAGATTAATAGAGTCAGAAAGCAGCAGTGAATGTGTCAGCGTGGATGAGTGTCTCACCTCCAGTAAACGAGGACGGCCAGCAGCAGAATGAGGCAGAGGAAGGTGAGCACCGACACCACCACCAGAGGAATAATCCACTCCATCCGGGCTGAAGCAGGCACAGGGTGCATGCTGGAGACTACGGTACGCTCTGAAACACACAGGCACACACACGTTACTATCAACACACCGTACAAATAGCAAACTAATAATAATAATAATAATAATGATAACAATAAGCATTATTATTACTGATAATAAAACAATTGCAATCATTACATAAAATTACATTAATCAATTATACCTAATATAATATTGAATTTAATTAGACCAACAAATTTCTGAAATTCAATAAACATTTATTTCACACAATATTTACTCAAAATTCCAAATAATGTTTATAAAATATTATAAAACAAAATAAATGCAGAAAGTACTTACATCAATTATAACAACATCAACATTAATTATCATTATCATTAATACTACCTTTTACTAGTAACAGCAACATTAATTATTGTTATTTATTAACTTTAAATAATTTAATAATAAATGACATTATAACATTATTTAAAATATATTATTTTATTTAGATTAAGAAATGGCTAAACTTCAATAAACATTTATTTTACACAATATTTCTATAAGTCTTAATATCAACAACAACAACGATATTTATTATTAATAATAATAATAATATCAACATTATTATTATTATTATTATTATTAATAGCAACAACAATAAACGATACTGATGATAATAATAATAATATCAACATTATTATTATTATTAATAATAATAATAATGTTGATATTATTATTATTATTAATAGCAACAACAATAAACGATACTGATGATAATAATAATAATATTAATAATAATAATAAAAATAATACAATTGCAATATTTTCAAAAAATAATTATTCAGTTATTCATATAATAATATTAAGTTTAATTGCTGAAGTTCAAATGATTATAAAACATTTAAAATAAATGCAAAAACACATAGATTATAATAACATCCAACATTATTATTATTATTATTATTATTATTATTAACACAGTTGCAGTAATTTAATCTAAAATATTGTTAAATTATTCAAAATTATTCAACATCTAACACTATTGGATTTAATTGTTGTTATTAAACATTCAAAATAAATGCAAAAATACTTAAAATTTTTTACATTTTTAAAGTTCTGGTTACCACTATTTTGCCAAGTAAGATTTCTAGATGAATTTGTTTTGCTTGCCCTAGAACATTCCAGTGAAAGGTTTTCCTGATCCTGACAATAAAATACCTTTTAAGTTCAGAGAGAAATGCTGGGTTTATAGCAGCCCCAAACCCAGTCCTGAGACTCTGTCTCCTTCCCTAAAACCTGACTGGTTGATAGGAATGCTGTTCCAGGACAAACACGGATGTTGATTAAGGAACACAACCCACTTGGCAAGATCATGGTCACCCTACCAGTCTATAACTAACATGCACACACACACACACACACACACACACACACAGACAGACATACCAGAGTCCCGAACTGGTAGCGGAAACCACACACTCAGATCCCGAACATAAGAACAGAGAGATCAGAAACCTGCAGCCCCCCCTCGGGTGGTCCAGGACAGCATGCTGCAAACTAATCCATGCTGCTACAGCCTCACCACGGTCAGACACAGACCCACAGTCACGCAAGGAACAGCCCTCACACACACACAAACACACTGGATGAATATAACTCCAGTGCCAAAAGAGCTAAATATGGAGTTTCTCTGTTTCTTTCTTGTTTATTTATTTATTTATTTTTTTACTCCCTGCAGCTGAAAATGTTTTCCGCTCTCATCCTCTCTGGACCGGAAAACTAGGCCAACCCTCTGCCTCCGAAACAAACAGAGGGGATGGAAAGCAAGATGGAAGGTTGAGAAGAGAGGGGATAAGGAAGAGGGAGTGACAGGGAAATAAATGACAAAGAAATGAGAGTGAGAGAGGGAGATGAAACCATCATTGCACGGGGGACGCAAACAGGACCACATAACACAAGAACTGAATGTTTAGT